GTTACTTAGGGTACCTAATTTTGTGCAAATGGATAATCTTACCCAATGGCTACAGGAAAATGTTAAACAGGATCAGAGAGAGAAATGAGCCCTGAAGGCTCAACATGGACCAATGGCTGTATGACTCATTCACATCACCCACACACAACTAACAGTGACTGGAACAAATGACTGGAAAAGAACCAGTGCAATAACTTGCTTCCCATTCTCACCCCCGATTGGTTTAGAAGAATTTCATGATCAATGGTAATGATGACTACCAAGTGATCAATGAGGGAAAAGATAGATGTACTCCCACCATGGACCATTAACAAGAATGTTTTGGTGGCCAAACTTGAAACCCAATTAAAAGGGTCAAGATAATTTAGCTCCAGAGCCTGCTGAAGCTGCAGGCCAACCATCTTCCTAGTAACTTTCACACAAAAAGGAAAATTGGAGATGGGGAAGAAATTAAGCAACACTGTGGTGTCCAGTGAAGAGGGAATGGACTACCACTGCCTTAATTACAAATGGAATCAATATCTCTCTCAAGGATGAGTTCTCCAATGCTTGGACCCTATATCTTTCACCTCTTGGAATACCTTGATCAAATAGGAAGGACATGGATCTAACACACCAGTGGTTGTACTAATTGTGCACAGTCTATATCTTCTTTTCTGGGTCAACAGAGTCAAACAATTCCTTGCTAGATCCTACTTCAATGAACTCAACAAGGCTTACACAACCTGTCCTGCTCCAACTCAGAGCAAATGTGATGGATTTTTTTTTTGACAGATGCCTTGAAAAATCCGCGCAGTGCCCCTTTAGGTGGCTTTCTGAACCATTCATCCCCAAAATGGCAACATCACCATAAAGGATTGGCAGATGGCAATTCACAGATGCAGTAAAAGTAAACATAAATAAATAAATAAATAAATAGCTATGTTTTGCTGCTCTAATCATCAGAGTGTAATACTTATTGGATTTATTTTTGGAGATATACCTGTGATTGAATTTTTTTAAAAAAAAGAAAGAAAAGGAACTCTGCAAGCTGAAAAACTATTGGCACACCCTTGTGAGGTTTCAGAGATGAAATCTCTGTGAGCATCCTGAAGTCTCATCCATGGGAAGAGATATTGAGGAATTGTGAGAAATAATTCTCATACGTGATTATCCATGTTTTTATCAAAAGCTAATTGTTAAAATGTAAAATCTGTCAAGTGAATAAATTGCTGCACCTGAAGACATAGAGTGGACTGTAACTAGATAATATCTTTGTAACTTTCTTGCTAAAAAATATTATCAAGTAGTATGGAAGGAGGAATAGAAAAAAAGAGATAATTCTTTCAAGAAAAATGGATATTAGAGCTCCAATATATTATATGGATGACCATTAAGATTGCGAGTTAATTTTCTCAGTATCAAATTACCAAATATAGCACCTAATTCTTCTCTTTCTGGATGCTCTGGAAACTACTTTTCCACAGCATCCCTGTAATTGGCTACTGATATCCATCTGTGTGCTGGGAAAAAGTCTGTCTCCAACAGATGGATAGGTAGATAGGTGGGTAAGTAACTAGGTGGAGAGGTAGCTGAAGACTGTACATTTCTCATTAGCATTTGGAATCTATAGAGATTATACTTTTCCTCCAGTATTCGTATTTGCAAACTGAAGAATTAAGAGAAGCCAAGCTTGACATAGTCACATTCAGAATGTATAAGAATTAACAGCCAATGTACTATATAATTGTTTCCCATGAGAAAGAATAGGGACATGTGAAATATCCATCAACTAGGACAAATTCCAAACTAAAGCAAGCCTGGACAATTTTGGGCAGACTTGAATTCTTTTGAGGTAGGGTTCCAAGCAATCCTGAATTGATTCAAAAACCTTCACTCAACCTGGCTGGTTTTTTTTCTGTTCAGGAAGAAGAAAGTCTAATAGATTCTAGAGCAGGGGTGTCAAACTTCTGGCCCGCAGACTGGATGCGTCATGGCGAAACCGCACTCACCCCATTGCCAGCAATGGAAAAAAAACCACGATACGTCGTGACACGTCATGTGATGTTGCGAGTTTGACACCCTTGTTCTAGAGCATCAGGAAGCTTTTACAGAGTCTTATTAATAAAACATATCTTAATATTCTTATATCTATCAGTTTGTCTTTATTTCCTTTCAGCATGCTAAGCCCTCCTCCCTTACACTTTTTTTTCCTTTCAGTTTAGGACTGCAACCTAGCTGATTTTAAAAAGATAAGAAGGAATATATTTGATTAGTACTTGGAGGAGAAATTACCAGGTAGCTGTAGCTATGAACAAATCCTGGAAGAAAGCATTGGTAAACTGTATCTGCATTTTTATTAAGAAAGCTAAAGAAATTTCTCTATGAAATTGCTAGAAATTGAGCTTGATTCACAAAAGACCTTCCTTTGCCTTATTATTTAAAACTTTACCCATCTTTCTACTCCTAGAATGTTCAAGGCAGCTAGAGGCAAAATAAAAGTAGCAGTTAAAACTCATTAAAAGACAACTACATTTATCCTTAATCCAATTAGAATCTTCATGAACTCATCTGAAAAGGCCTGGTCCAAGGGGCTCTTTGCTTTAAAATGATGAGTGCGGGTGACTTTCAGTTCCCCAGAGAAGGCCCTGCATAGGTTAAGAGTAATGCAGTAGCTAATCCTCAGAGAGGGTTTGAATAGCCTTCTCTCTAAAATCAGTCATAGCTATGCGAGGAATAACAAGCTTGGCCTGAATTATTTAATTCCTAGTCTATACTATGGATTTACAGTGCACTGAATCATATGGGTAATGACTCTGGATTCAAAAAAACATTGTAAGTCATTAAGGTGGAAAAATAACCAAGATTAATGCTAACCAAACATTACTATTGTAACTGATCTAATTTAGGATGGAAGCAAAGCCAGTGTGGAGTCTGTAATATAGAGCAAGGCTGAGCTTAGAAGTTTAACAGAATAACAGAGTTGGAAGGAACTTTGAGGTGTTCTAATCCAACTGCCTGCTCAGCCCAGAGACCCTATGTGACAAATGCCTGTCCAATCTCTTCTTAAAAAACCTCCAGTGATGCAGCAAGTTATTATTAGGGTTCTGTGTTCTGGTTCAAGTGCAATACAATATTAAACCTTTAGTTTCTGCCAAATTCTAGATTATTTGTTCATACAAATAATGCAGACATTTTTTTACTTATGTTTGCAAGTAAAGAGATAGAAAGGAAAGTGGTCGCTAGTTCATATTGCTTAATAGTAGAGCTCTCAGAACAAATTATTTATTTATAAAACGTGTGTGATCTGTTTTCATCTAGTCCACAGCATCTGTACTTGGAAGAAGGCTCCACTGATTTTTAGTGCAGCTGAGGACCAGTTGATATCACTTAGTTGGTAGCCTTTTGAAGACTACTTATTTTCTACTAGAGTAGACGCCTCCCTTTATTTATTTTATTTTAGTGGAAGGAAATCTTTAGTAATAGTTCCCCCTTCCCACACGCACTCCATTTCCATGGTAACAATATTTTCCTCATCATTTAGATCAGGGGTAGGGACAGAGGGCTGAGCTGTATTTCTAGCAGCCTGGCCGTTATTGTGAATTGCTGGAAAGGGTAGTTCCCCCACAGCTGTAGAGACACAAATCTTCTTTCTCTGCTTTATAGACTGATTGAATTTCACATTATTATTTTACATTTGGTTGGGGTTAATTCTTCTTCCCCATAAGAAAGCAGAACTGACTTTCATTCCCCCCCCCCCACTTGAACAAAGAGACTGAATGGCTCTGAGAAAGCTGGGCTGGATTAAACCCAAGGGGGCTTGTATAGAGACGATTGCAGCCTTATGAATGACTTGATTAATCAGTCAACAAAGAGCACCTGTTTGGTCCATTTCTGCAGGCAGCTTGGTGGATTTTTCTTATGGATAATGGGAAGAGACTATGGGAGTTCAGCCACATTTAGAGGGCCACACATCGCCCGCTACTGTTCCAACATCCAATTCGACCTTTCCTGTGTGATTTTTTTCCCCCTCAACTACAAAAAGATCCGAACAGAATACAGTACAAAACAGCACTTGTTTTAAAGCAGGGTTTTAAAAAGCTAAGTAATCGAGCAATAGCCAAGATAAATAAATAATATCAAAAAGCGGGGAGCGGGGAATCTAGAGAGATAAACCATCCCACATGAAAGCAAAAGAGGGGCGGGGAAGAAGCGTGGGCTAGGCGGCTAAGGAGAACATGTCCTCGCTCGTCGGCTCTCCCCGGAGCTGCGAGCTGCAAGCGAACGCGCGTTCCTCCAGCCTCCGAGGCTCTACTGCCACCTTGGCTAAGGCGAGGGACTTGCAGCGCGACGATTCAAACCCAGCGCGCCCGCTCGGCTCTTCCCTTGCCCTTCTCGCACAGCAGCCGCACATTACCAATCCCGCCGTCGTTTCCACGGTCTTGTCAGAAATTGTTCAGCTCGGATAAAAAGTCTCGAGGCCAACGGGACGACTCCCTCCCGCCTTTCAAAGGGAAACGCAGCGACGGCCCTCCGATCGCCTGTGTCGTCTGCGCTCCCCCCCTCTTTCGCCCCCTTATTGCAAACAGCCTCCTTCCTCCTTGCGTCCCGAAGAAACGCGTTCTTTGCAAAATGCCTCTCCCGTGTTTTTCAGAGACGAATTTCTCTTGAGGAATTCGAAGCTTCCACACCAGCAAATATACACACGACTTGAGTATGCGCGCGCGCCCATAAACACACACACACACGTACCCGAGAGGCAAACCCACTTTCTTGTCTTCGGTTCGAATTAGGATATTCGAAAGGAACAAGGTGTGTGCCTCAGGGTTTACAGCTTGGAGATTGCTCCTGTCTATGAATTCAGTTATGGCTGAATTGGAGAAAGCTCTTTCCGGACTCTCCTTGATGTCCAGGCTGGCCAATGAAGTGTATTGTAATTTGGAAGGTAGTGATGTACATGCTGTACACCCCCCTCCTAAACTACTGGCACGTCAAAGCTAACGTGGCTGTACAGTCTGTGCAGACTGACCAGAAAAAGGGAGAGGGGGCGAGAAAGGATGCAAGAAGCTTAACAATTGTGGTTTGGAGCTGGATTAAGCAGGAAAACAATTGTTGCTTTATATAAATGGAGGGGTAGATATGAGGCTGTATAAAATATGGAGTAGGAGTGAGTTAACGCCATCAAAGAAGTTCCCAAGGTGTATTCGACCCGACGATCAATTTTTAATTCGCATCCCATCTCCGAACAGCGAAGCAGATCGAGGTTCAAGTAAAACTTTTGTTTCCTCTTAGGTCTATTAGAAGAGAGAAAGGGAGAGATTTGAGCCACAACATGATTGCACAAAACGCCTTCGCAAAACTCCTTCGGCGCGCGCTGCAATGGTTTTGGGGGAAATGGTCGGAATTGTTTTCTTTAACCGAGTGTGCAGACCCGCCCGGCTGAAAAATAGTGGGGCGAAGAATTGAGCAGGTGGGAAGGTTCATTAAACCGTGATGTCACTAGATCTCTCCTCCTCCCCTTCTCTCGAGTTAAGGCACAGTTCAGCTCTGCCGTTCATTCCTTCCTTCCTTTCGAAGGGACAGCTAATCCGCAAAGCAATTCTGCCCGGGGTGGGGCTTTACTTCCCTCCTCCCCCCGCCTTTTTTCCCCCTAGCGTGTGCGTGCGTGTGTGCGCTTCCTCAAGCAAGCCTCTCTCCAGTCACGGTGGGGCCAGTCATAACAAAACCCCGTCCGCTGGCAGGAGGAACGTTGGAACGCGGCTCCGCTGTTCCTTTAAGCGTCACGCCCGCGAAGGGTTAAGCGGCCGGTGCTGCCTCCCGCTCTTTGCTAGACGGCGGAATTTCGAGGAAGGCGCTGGGCGTTCGAGACAGCGTGTGGCTGCTGTTGCTGTGGTAGCTACTCTCGCTAAAAGCCTTTCCGGCTCATTTGGGAAGACGTTCAGCTGCGTTTTATTTTAGGCCCCGGACCTCGACCCTCTCCGGAGAAATCTGCTTCGGGGTGAGGAAGAAGGAGCAGAAGATTTCAAAGCGTACCAGCTGGACTTGCGTCGCGGGGCGCTGCGATTGAACGCCCGGGTGAGCGAGCATCTCCGGGGAATCGCCTCCTCACGCTCGCCCGGAGCGGTGTGATTATGAGGACGAGCTTGGCTCTTGCCAGCTATGGAACCAAGCCAGACCTTGGCGGTGATCCTTAAACCAGTACAATGCCGGGACTGAGCTGCTTCGCTCTCCACCTTCCTGACCCAGTCGGGTTTGGGTGAGATCCAGCTGCAGACCAGCCGCGCGTCCTCTTCGCAGGTAAAACGGCGTCCTTTTAAAAAGTCTCTCCCTTGCAGGGCTTCCTTTTCCCCAACCGCTAGAAGGAAGGTCGAGCGAGCGATCCAGAAACGAATAAGCAAAGGAACTTAGTGGAACGCGTTTCGCCAAAGTTTAAAGTTGCGATTGGAGGAAGGGCCGCGGGAAGGTTAGGTTCTTGGTAGCAAAATCGAGGAATAGTCCATCCAGTAATATGAGCGGGATGATGGTGCTGTGGTGTTCTTGAAACCATTCACTCCCCGGTTCTTTTTTACGTCAGTGCCAATTTGATTTTCAGCATGGCAGGTTCAGTTCGGTAGGGGCAGTTTGGCAGGTTGAAACACGCCACGCACCGGCAAGGAGAGGGTCCATTTTTCTTGCCTTCAAATTCTGTTTTCCTCCCTCCAGAAGACCCACGACAAGTGGATCCTGGCATGTGTCGCTAAATCGTCGCGCTTTTAGCGAGGAAAGGGAGGGGGTATTTGTGTTGTAGGCTTGTTGGTTGCGCCGCTGAAACCTGGCTGTATTCAGTCCCGGAGCCGCCTGGGTGAGTTTAAAAGGAATTTACAGGCAAGCAGGGGAGGATGACTACTCTCCTCCTCCCTTATCTCTTGTGTAAAGAAACAAAGACCTTACAAACAAGTGGGCAGGATCCATCAGTTGGAAACAGAGTGCTTCAATCCTTCTGGGACCCTTTTTCCTAGTTAGCTCCTTCCTCTTTTCATACCAATAGTCTGGGAAAGAAAATAGACCCCTTTACCACCACCACCACCCCCATTAGTTACTCTCTTGTCTCGCGGATGTCTTTTTTTGCCTCCGCAAAAGAGAGGTGCCGTGCTCTAAGGCGGCGATTAACTCCTTCCAGCCATCCAGGCTCCCGTGTTTCCGAGGTTCTGCGAACTAGCAAACCACAATTCGAGCCTCGATTCGGTGGCAGCTTTCCACAGGCAAGCCCGTATTTTATAACGGAGCAGGGACGCTCTGTTCGCCAAACTCCAGGCTCTCCCACTGACAGAGCTGGGTGTATCAGCTCGCCGAATCTCCCTCGCCGTACTCGGCAGCGCATCAGCTATTTTGTGTTTCGAAGGAGGTGGGTCGGACCCTCGAGGGGGGCGGGGATTCCTCTACACTGGCTAAGGCAGCAGAGCCTTTCCGAGGCTGTTTGTTGCGGCGGGCGGCCCAAGTAGTGATCGTGTCTGGCCCCAGACGCCGTTCCAAGCCGGGCTGTGAGACTTTTTTTTTTTTTTTTGGTAGGTGTTATATTAGAAAGCCTTTCCCCAAGCTAGCGCTGGTCAGAGGCGTTGAACTGCTAGTCCCTATAAGTCATGAAACAAGTGGGATCTATAGCAAGCTATAGCAATACTAGATACTCCTGGCCCACATGGTGATACACTTTCTTAGCTTAGGATGAGGTTACTGCCTAGCCAGCTATGTGCAAATGGCCATCAATGGGTTGGCCAGCCATCTTCTATTATCAGCCTCTATCTCTATATTTTAAAGGACATATTAATAATAGTCTGAAAGTGTCCTCTGACTTAGTTTGCAGTGTTGACCTGGGTGATGGGGGAAGCACTGAGAAGAATGTGTGAACATCTACAAGAAGGAGAAAGAAGACAAGTGAAATATTGCCAACCATCTCTTAGCCTCAGTATAAGACTTCTGTTGAGACAGCCTTGGCCATTTCCTCACTAATGATATATGGTGTCATTCAACCATTACTGCACTGATCTAAGTATAATGAATATGCAGTTATACAGCCACAGTGGTATAGGATGATGCTATAAATCAGCAGGGAAGAAATGGCTTGTCACAATAAAGATGTTTGAATGTTTTAGGCCTGCTGCAGTGATGTCTCTTGGTTGCAGTTGCTGCACCCTCTCCTTAAAATAAGTTCTAGTAAACTTAACAGAATTCTCTTCCATGGAATTCTTATATTAGCTAACACCTAATATTTGAATATTTGAGAATTGCTGTAGGGTTGATTCTGTGACAGACCTTTCACTTGTTCTGTTTATTAGTTTGATATTGTAGTTGCCAAATTATGAAAATTCACATAATATATCTCAAGCTTCCCTCAGTGCACCACATAAAAAGCTAGATGATAGAGGTGAAGACAGTATGAAAAGAAAAATAGTGAGGGCCTTTCAATGCTTAAATAAAAATATCTCCAAAAGTTAAGACACATGACATTGATCAGTTTCCCCAATTTCATTTTCTATTACCTCTGGACTTAAAAATAATGTAAAACATGAAATCTGGATAGCATATATTTTAAACAACAAGATCTAGCAGGTATACCTCCCTCCTGTCTGTTGCCCACATGAGCACTATAGTTTTAAAATTGTGAGAATATATTCATTTTCCTATTTAGAGAGTAGTTGATTGAAAACCTGTCCTTCTCCTCCTCTTCCCCCCCCCACTGGTTTACTCAAAACAGTATCATTTAAGATAAGGCTTTGTTATTTTATCGCTATTTTTAGGCTCAGAGTGACATGCAGAAAAAATATACATTTGGTTTTCTGGAGATAACACAAAAGAGATTTTTGTCCCTCTAAGGACCTATCAATCTACTCTGATTTGATTTTGCTAAATAAAAAAATAATCAGATAAGTGGAGAGGAGAGAACTACACTAGAGTAAAAATCCCCTTTGGTGGAGATTCTTTCCCTAAATTTTCGTATGGTAATTACTCTGTGGTTTAATCTACTGGCTGCAAAACCCTTTCAAAGGATAGTGTAAATAAGTGAAGTTTCAATCTCTTCCAGGCATCTCAGAATTATGGTAAAATTAACTGGTAGTGATTGCTGCTTTTGGGGAAGTGAGGGGATTTTAAAATGTTAACACACCAGAAAACTCTAGGTTCTCCTAAAGATTTTTTGAGAAGCTGTAAGGCCTTTTCTTTCGATCGTTCCTTCGTGGAGGAATCTCTGTTGGGTCAATTTAAAGTCCTTACCATTGGCAAACGCGCACTCGCCGGCGCTCCCCTCCGCTAATAAGGGGCAAAGCCGTGAAGCCAAAGGCAAAGCTCTGAGATACTAGTCAATATTGCCTCCCGTATTCTATCTGAAAGATGAGTCCACAAAAAAAATGAATAAAATGGGCGGAGAGAAACTAATCCAGGCAGAAACGCCGCTTTGGAATTAAAGAGGTTTTTGGTGAAGGGTAGGTCATAGGTTTTTTCTTTTTTCTTTTCCCTTTCGTTTTTGTTCTTTCTTTTTTTAAAAGGATTTTAAATCGCCTTTGCCTCTTGGGAAGCTTTCAGGTTACGGCCTTGCCTTCCAAGCATTTCTTTAAACTAGAAATATGGGAGGGACTTCAGGAGAGCGAGAGAGGCAGAGAGCGCGAGATGGCTATCAGTTGAATTCATTACCGTAAACATCTCCCCGGGGTATCAAGCGAGAAAAAGGGGAAGGGCACAGCTTTCATTAGCTGGGAATAGTCCGATCCGGGACCCCATTACACCGAAGATCAACCTGCGAAGGGGCTGCTCTCCAGGGCGGGCTCCGGACTTTTGCGAAAGAGAAGAACGAGGTCCTCAGACACGCTTCCCGGTTGCTTCACACGCGGACGCCTGCAAAGCGCTCGGCGCTTCTTGTGATTGCTCCCCGGGTCCTGCCTCCTTGGGCTTCCTTCTCCCCGTGTGATCCGCTCCCCAGATTTCCGAAGACCCAGAGAAAAAGCTCCGCGGCAGCCTCGCGCCTCCTCTCGGAGTCACTCTCTCTCTCTCTCTCTTTTTGCCTGGACTTCGTGGGGGATTGGACGCCTCTTGCGCGCGCGCCCCACTGCTTTCCCCCCCCCCCGGGAGGTAGGAAAGAGGCGTGTGTGCGCGCGCGTGCGTGCGCCTGCCCCGGGCATTCTTGGGGATGCTGGAGTCCCAGGCTTCGCGTTGGAGGAGAAAGGGGGAGGATGTGGTCGCTGCCTCGTAAGAGAGCGAGGCGAAGGAAAGGGAAGGAAGCGCTCCGCGGAGTCGGAGCTGGCCGCAGCCGCACCGGAGGCAAGCGCCAGCAGCCCTCGGCGGAGGAGAAAAAGAGGACATTAGGGCGCCGAGGTCGGGATCCCGCCTGTTTTTCTGAGCTGCAGTCGACCCTGCACAAGGTAGCCCGAGAGAAACCCGCTGCTGCGGCTGCCAAAGTTTGCTCTGTTCTGCTCGGCCACAGGCGCCCGGGGATTATATAAGCATCGGAGTCGGAGGAGGACTTACCCAGACCTGCTAGGTAGAGTTGAGTGCCTCTTATGTCTTCTCGTTCCAGCGATTTCTCCCCACCCCACTCCACCCCGCACTAGTCAGGTTGATTCTTTTGCCAGACTATTACAACAGAGCTTCCCCCCCAAATAATAAAAAAAATAAAAATGGATGGCTGGAGATCAAGGTGGCACAAGATTACCACTTTGTTTCATTAGAAGAGGCGTTTTTGTGTGTGAAAGAGTGATCTACACACACACACAGGCGAAAGAACCAGGGAGTTCATCAATGCCTGTCTGACAACTGGCGGAACTGGCAACCATTCGAAGCTAGACATAGTTCCCTGTTTTTCTTAACCAGAGTATGAGAACCCAGGTGAATGTAAGTAGAAGCATGCTGGCTAATTTCTCTTTATTTCCCAGGGCCAATTAGCAACTCACAATTTGATGTCAGGCTCCAAGGCTATGCATCTTGAATGGCTGGGAATATTTCCCAGAATGGTGGGGGGGGGGGGTGGAGAGGGAGAAGTTGCAAGGAAGGGACAAATCTACTAGTAGTTTCAAGCCTAAGAAGAGATTTATGAGATTTAAATGAAAGGGGTGCAGGAATGATTTGTAAATATGCCTTGGTATTCAGAGTCTCATTAATAAAGTCAGAGTTGGTGGCTTGGGGGAGGAGGCAGAAATGGGATTTCAGGTCCATCAAATGCTCAGCAGAATAATTTCATATAAGTGGTCAGAATTGATCACTATGCTCAAGCTAAAAAGGACATTTGAAGGAAAAGGCTGAAAAAAAAAGCTCTGCAGAAAAAGCATACATTA